GTTTGGTCTGATCTGTTCTGAATGAGAGGGTCCCCTGCCTCTCTGGATAAATGACTTCAACTGATTTAATTGTAAGGCAGCGTGCCGCAGAGACAGTTAATCCCAGCCCTTTGGCGTTCATCTTCTCACCTCCAGTTCTAATAACACGGAATTCCTTCCCTGCACGGCTGCGTACACATCCCCCGCAAAAGACTCGGAGCACGTCCATCTAGACTCCTGTCTTTTAAGTGACAATCGGTTCCTTACGTGAGATCCCTCTCGGCTCCCTGCGTCAAACTACGCCGACAGAAACCCATGTTGCTGCTGCGGGCACAGGCACGGGAATGTCAACATTTCTGGCAGCGAGAGAGGGAGAACGTGTCCCTGTGCCGCCCGTGGGCAGAGGCCAGGGGAAAAGGGAGCAGCTCACCGAGCCGCAAAGCGCGCGGGGCCGCCCGAAAGGCGAGGAGCGCAGGCTGCAGAGGCGGCTGCTGCAAGGAGCTGCAGGGTCGGTCTCTCTCTGGAGATGAGAAGGAGAGAGATCGGTGTTAACACCAAACGCCGTTTATGGGGCTTCAGGAGACCTGCCTGACCAGAAAGATGCTTGCCACTTCTTCTTGGCTTAGGGGGACATGTGGGAGGAAGAGCAAGTGTTGGGGAAGCCTTAGAGCTCTGACAGGAGCGTGCAGGACCCCTCCGGAAAAACAAATCACGGTCCCTGACTAACCTGCAGCAGCCACCCTCTTTTACTGGCAGACCAAGGGTTTCTCATGGTACGCTCACCTGAACTCTCTGCAAAACTTCCAGGAGCTGTAAATTGCCTTCTAACGACCGGCATTTTCTCTCGACTTTATTTCCCTTTGGGTCAAAGTCAATATAAAAACACAACAAAAGCATACTTTAATCTTGACCCCTTAAGAAAGTTTCTGCCGAGAGATACCTCAGAAGGTAAATCTGGTAACATGTTACTTCACGGTTCAGAAATCAGCAGTACATTATTCTGTCAGCACATGACAAGTCCTCCTTGCAAATCAGATGCATGTGCCAAGAAATTCCTGGGCAATTACAGTGATTATTTCCGCCCTGGGAACAAAAGATGTTAATGGAAGCGCTAAAAACACCAGTGATGTGATAATCATATTTGGTTTTCAAAGAGGTTATCTGCTACAGCAGCTTCATGACTATTCATCTTTCCCAAAAGAGAAAGTACGACCGACTGTGACCGATCCGAACAACGGACCCTTAACACACAACCTCGTGCAGCGCAGCACAGCCAGCTCAGCTCACAAAAAACCCAGAGAGCCTCCACAGAAGCAATGGGCTATTTGCAATTTCTTATCCAAAAAGCCATTTGTACACAACACAAACACGCATACTCGCAGGCTGACAGGGGGATTCTATGGTCTCTCTCTATTTTTCTATGGGCTAGAGATTACAGTTATAAGGAGAGCAGGACTAAACGCATCGCTGCCCATCCTCTACTGTGTGCTGCTTCTCTGAGGAACAGATGAGACTATCACATGTTCAAGACAGGATGCGTTTTGAAATTACTTTGTTGGAGTGAAGCCCTGCCCAGCATGCTTTGGTGCATGCACCGGTAATGAATAAATTATGACTCTGAAAGCCAAAATTGGTTTTACTCGTAAAAGACTGTCAGGTCTGCAGCTGGAAATAAGATGCATGCATGCTGACTTCCTTCTTACTTTCTTCTCAAAGGGAAACAGCTTTATTGAAATTATGTATGTATCAAAAATAGCAATACATGTGAGTATTACATTTTACTGCTCTGCAGAATGCTGTAAAATCATTAAGGCCTTTGGACAGTTTCTTCAAATAGGTCCTACAGAGGTCCTACGTCCAGCAGTAGGAAAAGTTAGCACTCGGGCCACATTTATGAATGGTTATTAATCTGGTTTCTTGAAAAGGCGAAGCTTTTTATGATTGTGAACTGGGAAATGTCCCTAAAAAATCACAGTGTAACATTTTCTTATTGCCTGGAACTACTTAGAGTTGCTTATATCCCAAGTGTTGTTGATTTATCTATACTTTTGCTCTCAAGTTTGTTCAAATTCTCTTAAGCCTCTTCCTATTTACTGCAGCGATTTGATTTTACTTACCCATTATCTTCTTGAGAAAACTAGAACAGTGACATTTCCAAACTTCAAAGTGCTGTACTTGGCCTTCAGAGGTCAAAACTTGTCGTATTTGAAATAATTCAGCTCTGATCCACAACATAGTTTACGTATGAAATACCAACTTCATTGCACTCTGAAGTGCGCATTTCCAGACAGCTGTACTGTCCTATCTTTTGAGCTCGTGTTCAGGGACAACAATCTGGCATAACTTAAAATTGTCACTTAATGCTCCACTAACACTGGCAGCTTTAGATCTTGTATTTTTAACTCTCTAGGCATCAGGATCCTGGCATGAGCAGTCACTGAGTTGTTTCACATTAGCAAAAAACAAGTTTGCGTGTTTTACAAGTCAGAACAAAATCACAACCTCTGCAGTTGTAACACACTGATCTTTTCTACCAGCAAAATATCTTGTGAGCCCGAGGCAAAGGTTCAGGTTTGCCAGTCAAATGCAATCACACTTGTTGACTTTGCTCAAAATCAGGGCTAGATCTTCACTGTTGCTGGAGCAACAGGACTTGGATCTTCCGAAGGGAGGAAAGTCATTCCGGGCAGCATAACGTCAACTAAGGGCTGGGACCAGCTCTCTCGCAGTACCTTACCCACACTCCTGCGTAACAAAAGCGCTGCCACGACAAGCTCACCGACCTTGTGAAGGTGCTTCAGCTCACGCACCTCCACCCACCCAGAAGCTGAGAATCACAAAGGGGAAGGGGTTACAGTTTCCAAATAGCAGGGTCTTGGCTTTAGGCTGCCGTCAATGTCAATTGGGAAAGTAAAAAAAAAAAGAACAAACAATTTTCCTCTCATTTTTGTTCTCCCAGCACCTGGGAGGGCAGCAGGAGCCGCCAGTGACTTTTCTGACGCGGAGCTGGTCCTCAGCGAGCACGAGGAAGGGTTTCGCGCAGTCCCTGGGGAGGCTCCGTCGCAGCAACTTACCCGGGGAGTTCTGAGGGGAAGACACGGGCGAGCCTCGCGGGGACTGGCAATAGCTAGGATGAAGTAAGGCATGTGGCGGCACGTACGACATGATCTCCTCCTCAAACAAGCTGGGCAAGAAAGGAGCAAATAAGAAGTAACACTTTTATTTGAGTGAACAGCATTCTTCGCTCTCCAGGAATAAAGCTCTAGTTACAAACCAGCTTTCTTTGGCAATGTCTTGCCTACTCCCATTATGCACACTTAGAGTGCTACAAAATATTGCGGTTCCCTCAGTCAGATCTTGAAAGTACTGGAAAGCAGTAATTACTACTTTGGTAGGAAATCACTACAAATAATGTGATTTTTTTCCCCTCCTTTTTTTATTTAATGGTTATTTTCTGGCAGGTTTTTACATTCATGACACACACTCTTTTCCTCCAAGGTACACTTTGATGCAGAAAATGTGATAAGATATAAACCGCTATTTCAATCTTGGATTAAAAGTTAAAATGATGATTCATGCAATCTTTGTTGAAAAACAAATAGCTGAAGCCAGATTTTTCTGTGTGAAATCTGTGCCATCTCCATGCGTTATATATCACAACAAAAATCTTAAAAGGATTTTTTTAAGATGTGGTATTTTTAAAAAAGCTTCAGCATGGCCTTAACATGAGATATTTTTTTTATAACTGTAATTAATTCAGAGACTTAGGGACCAGAAAGGATTATCATTACACAACCTGACCTCAAAATACTACTACTAACGCCTATTCTCTTTCAGTAGGTTCCTGAGTTTCCTGATGCACCTTTACAAGGGATTAGAACACAACATCAAGAAACAAGGGTGTAACTCTAGCAAAAAATCTGCCCGAGTTTTTGACTTAACTGCTTAAATGAAAAATAGTAAAGCAGCAGCTTCTCGTTCCTTGGCCTCTGTAACAGCATTTCCTTTATTAAAGGGGACAATGCTCGACAGCACAGCGAAGAGGCAGCGAGACGTCAAGAAATAACGCATCTCGAGCATGAACGATCGCAGACACGGACTTCCCAAGCCACAGAACTAACCAGACGCATTCTTAGAGCAGTCAAAGGCCCTTTCCTGCAAAGCCCCCTGAACTGGACCACCGATGTGAGCATCAGCAGGCCGACACAAGGCCATATGGGGCAGACTCACACCAACTACAGAGCTCTCGCTCTCGCCCTTCCTCCGAGAGAGGATCCCGTTCCAACCTTCCTAGGCAAAAACGTGGCCTCCAACTTCCACCTAGACCCTGACCGTGATGAAAATAAAAGAAATGCAAATAAATCTGCCCCTCGAGTTGTAGCTCCCCCAGTTTCGAGCCCAAGTACCCAAGGGGAGATGCCGCGGTCACCGAATCGGCGCAAGGTCCTGGGCAGCTGCCGCCACGGCGCGTGCCACGGGTGCACGGAAAGCAGCAGCACCTACCTGAGTAACATGACAAGGTCTGCATCGCTGGATAAACGCACCAACCCCGGCGTTCCCTCCGTCCGGATGAACTGGATCTTCTCCCTGGGTAAGCAAGTAAAAAAAGAAGACTTAAAAAATATCTTTTGCAAATAAGGCACCAATGTACGCTACAGCAACAAGAAAAACTTTGGGGTATATCAGAAAAACCTCTGGGTTATGCTTCTGTATTTCAGAAACCTTTTTTTTTTGCCCCTGCCACAGCATGTCCACGTCAGGAACAATCAAAAAGCCAGTTTGTTCTCAGAGGAACGACTCTCCCGTTGTCCTCATCTCTACGACGCTCAGGTTGCCTCAAGTAGCGCAGCCAGTCAACCAGTAAAAAACCCCAAAAATCCTTCAAGTTCACGCGAGCTGTGTCCTGAGGCTGAGCCCTGCGGGAGGACACTGCTCCTCTGAAAGTGAACTGTTTAAAGGGAAACTGTGTCTTTTCGGAACCTCTGTCCAAACGCAAGCCCTGCGGTACACGGCACACTTGGGATTTTAAAAGCAGAGTTTTTGTATCACTCCACATTTAAAGAGATCTTCCGGAAAAGCTGCTGTATTATTTTCTTCCCACCATCTCACCCAAGCACACACCCTTCTCCTCCCAGACCCAGTTCAGTCACTATTATTTGGCAGTAACACATTACCTCTGTTCTCCTAAACCTTACTTCAGGGAGTTACACAGAAATACAGCAAAGAACTGTTTCCTGCAGCTTTATGAAAGTGCTTGAACAGGCCAAAAGTTTACAACCTGTTGTGCTCCACTGCTAATTTTAATGAAAGAAGCTAATTCTAATTAGCCTTTCGGTACTGAAACGGGGACTGCAAACTTCACCGATTTTATTACCTGAGTGAATGATTCCTGGTAAGATCTGGTTGACGCTCTTGCAGGATTTCGAAGATATTGGGCTGCCGCAAAAATGCGACAATCTTGTCATTGTAAGCTGAAAACAACAAAAACATCACGCTGAGACAAGGAGATACGAAAAGCTCCCTCTGAGTTTTGAAAGCTAACGTCAGCAGACTTCATCCCCACAGTTTTAAGTTTAGCAGGACTGCGTTCATCCCTTTTCATGTAACACTTTTTCATGATTCTACTGTCATTGAGGGAAGAGGTGACTCCGAACCAAAACTCCCATTGTGACACATCCTTCCCACTGTTAACAGCTCTAATTCTGTTGGCAATTTCTGTTACATTTCAGCACTCACACTCTCAGCTGAGGTCAAACTAGAATATTCATTGCTAGAATAAAATTGCAGGGACCTGCGCTGAAATCCACTTTCTAACATGGAACAGGCACTGGAAACGCCCGTATCAGACCCTCACTAACTGCTGAGCCCGCAGCGTGCACACATCGTGTCCACGGCGAGGGCGAGGATTTAAATTAGCCGAGATTTCCAAGTAAACAGGCCACAGTACAAAGAGCCAGTTCCAGCCAATCGGATTAATTTATCTTGATTTAGCACACTGTGACAGCTGTTAGGTTCAATAAGCTAAATTCCGTTGGCGGAACAGAAGTCAGTAACTTGTGTGTGTCTGTAACCGAGAACAGAAGTTAAGCTAATGCCTAATCCCAAGATGATTAACGGTTTCTGGAATCCTGCCAAAACAGACGCGCAGAAATCGCACAAAAATCGCTGGGAATACGCGGAGTCCAGTTAGGACACAACTCGGCTGCAACTCTTCCTGGTAGCTCGGAAGGCAGAAGACTGACCCCGGGTATTTGGCTCTGCGCAGGCGCTTGGCAGCGTTATTCCTCCAGGTCGCAACTGAACACCTGGGAAACGCTGACGGACAGAAGGAATCAGAGCTTCCACCCAGCCCAACCGAAGGGAAAGCGCAGCAAGGGCAGCCTGACAGGACGCACACGCGGTCAGGGAGGACTCCCAACATACCCACGGGAACCATGTCCTGGTACTGAGCTCTGCTGACGGTATTAAACGTGCTGGACGGTCTCGGCAAAACGGGTGGTCCGGAATGACGGGAGTCCTCTCCGACCTGAGAACGTGCAAAGAACCATCATGAGTGCTTCTACGCCAGCACGTGTAAAAGCGACAACTCACATGGCTGAAAACCAAGTGTGGAAATGCTTTGCTTGGTCACGGTCCCCAGTGACTGCTGGGGCAGGATCAGCCGTGTTGTACATCGGTTAGTAGTAAAACATTTTATTTAGTATACTGTACCCACCACTCTGAAGAATCAAAACTGACTGAAAGTTCATCACTACTTTTAAGTAACAGTCCTGTTCTGAAAAGGGACTAAACAAATCTCAAACTGGGATTTCCTCTTAGGGTCTTTTGTACTTGTTTTGTGCGGACGTCTTTATCCCTATCAAAGGTTCTGAAAATCAAATTCTGCTGCTTCCGCAGAACCTCCATTATCTCTGTGCATGAGTGGCGTTTCCCCGAATTTGAATTAGAAACAGGTTTCTGGCTGAAGCAGGAGGTTAAAGGAGTTCACATACAGGCAAGACACACAAGTACAAAACTATCCTACCTTCAGTAAAACTGTTCTGAATTTTTCATATTCGCCTTATGGGACTAAAAAGGGTTGCACGAGAACATTTTTTAGGGTAGAATCACAACACAAAATCGTTCCTGGTAGCATCTATGATGTCAGGGCAACTCCTGCAGTTTTCCAGGTGCTGACACTTCAGCCATTTCCACAGTGTCTCTATTTTGTATTTCATCTATATAAACCATTTTGCCCTATCTTGTTTTCACCTTGTTGGACCTTTACATTTACCTCTCATTTCCTCTGCCTACATGTGACAGTTTGAGTTTTAACCACACTTCCAAGCTTCAAAGATCTCCAAAACATCTATCTGCAAAAGACCACATAATTATAAAGGTGGGGTTTTGTCCGGGTTGTTGTTCTGTTTTTAAATCCAGTCTCTGAAATCATGAAAAGCAAAAGTCATGAGATGTTTCCTAAGATCTTCGTGCTCTCTGACAATACTCTCAGAAAAATGAAGAATTGTTTCCTGTAGGCACTGTGCTGGGAAAGGAATGCCATTATTATTAGCTCCAGCCCCATGCTGCAGTTCAGCTTGAGCTAGAAAGGCATTCCTTACACCAGCTAATGTTTGCTTTAAAGCCTCTCTCTGTAAAAATTGGGTTAGCAGCTTCCAAACATCAAGTTTGTGGCAAGGCAAATCCAAGGAAAGTATTTTGAGAATCTTTTTCATTAAGCATTCAGCGTTTGCAGTAACGTACAGCCTCTTGAAGCGGTGGTTTAAAAATAGGCGAAACAGCTGCAAATACGCAATACTTAAGTCACCAGCACCGAGGAAAAAGCAGTCTTCAGATTCATATGCACACATATAAATGGGCATCACCATCATTACATTGTTAATCCCAGAACGGGAATACTGCGTCGCTGCGTTACGTTTGGGACTCCTACCTGGACTCAGGCTTCTATCGAATTCAAGTTACACCTGTGGCAGTATCAAAGGAATCCTTCCAAAATTACAAGTAGGTATGTGGTTCACGTCTCTGGATGGAGTGGGAAACTTTCACTCGTCATCAGCACTGTGTACACGCAACCCACACGATGGTTCCCCGCAGGATAAACTACATTTATTTTGCTGTATTGAGAACGTGAGCAGCACGGCTGACATTAATCTAAGTGCAGAGAGCCTCTGCACCTTGCTTAAAGAAAAGCAATTTCAGAGTGTATTTGCTAAAGTTAAGAAAAAAAACATTATTTCTGCTCTGCTATAAATCAATCACCGCAGCAACACTTGCTTTACCCTAGTGAAGATCTAAACCGCTATATGAAGACGATTCACGCCTGCTGTGAAGCAGACCTCTGGCAGAACCTTGTGTGCCACAAGGCTGAGCTATAAAAAGGATAAATCCGAGCATTTCTCTCGCCATCCTAAATTCCTGGCGTGGAAAGCCCATCGCCTGAACAGACGACTTAGCGCCAACAGCACAGAGGTTAAACAAAGTACAGCAGAGGACTAAGTCACTGTACACACACTTGCTCACAAGTAAGAAAAAGTTACACCAATAACGTAGAGACTGCTGGTGAAAGTGGGCCGTGGTGACTTATCAGCAAAGTTGTGTTTTCCACGTATTTCTGTTCAGAAAGTAGAGACAAAATACGTATGCAAATGCATAAAGCAGTCTGACCGACCGACAGGTGGTAAGAGGCTTTTCTAACACTTATTTGGAAAGCTGCACAGCTAGAGGTATATATTTGTGCACATGGAACTGTACGCACGGTTACACCTGCACTTTTCCCCCCCCTCCTATTTGCAGGGATATCAACACACTCAGCAGACAGTAAGTCAGACGATACGTATTTTGACAGCAAAAGACAGGATACAGATACTGGTGATGTGTGACCAGATGCTCTCCTGTGGTTAAATGGGGTTACTGCAAATTAAAAGTAAGAGAAACTCACATCTGCTATTTTTTCTCTCCAAAATTATACTTTTCGAAAGCAACCGTGGCTAGCAAACACAGTAAACTTTAGGGATGGGCAATGTACGCTTCCAGAAGAATCTCGCTCATCACAACACAGAACTGCGAAGGGAATGAATGTGGAAGAGGATGATCCCGAAAACCCGGCGGTTGCCGAGGAGAAGGGGCAGATCCAACCCACCTCACCAGCGCTGTGGCTGCGCTGCCTCGTCAAGTGCTGCCGATGGACCAGCGCGCTTGTGGGGCTGCTGCTCTGCAAGGGGAGCCGGGGGTCGATGAACGTGGTAGTGCGGGAATTGTGGTCAACAAAGAAAGCCTAGAGAAGAAGGAAGAGGAAAGAATTTATAGCCAATACTTCTTCTTTGTTAACACGTGTGAGGTGAACATCTATCCAGGATCTAGGTTTCTCGTGAGGCTTTGGGGAATTTTCCCCACGTTACTGAGGTTTGCATCTCCCTTCAGCAGAAGAGGGAAAACAGTCTTCTGTCTCACCAAAGGGATGAATTCTTTAATGCCTTACTTCATTCATGTCTATAAAGCCCTTCGAAATTCTCATCCGACAAGCATCAGAAGTAGGAAGCTTTATTAGGATTGTTGAGAAGGCTTAAATGTTTAATGTAAGTAAACCCTGGTGTATTCTCCCTTTCATTTCCAGCAGCTAAAAAGATGTCAGAAGGTAGCAAAACCATTCCCTTTTGTGAGCTATTCACTGCACAACGACGAACACCACGGGTGGACGCATGTCAAGTGTATGATTGCATCCTGTGATGAACTGTGATTACGGGCCATCAGGCGTTTTCGCCATCCTCCCGATACAACTATTCCAAGTTTGTTCACCTTTAAAAAAGAGACAAAAAAAACACCAACAAAAAAAACCCCAACCCAACCCAAAAGAAAGGTTAGTTAGGGATACAAAGATGATGGCAACAAAAACATTCAAACCAGGTACTGGCCAGTCAGTTGTTTGTCAAAATCAAGGTCATGGGAGCACATCCTGGAATATAAAAACCTCCTACAATTCTGGGCAATTTGAACCAAAAAGGTTTCTAAAGCCCTGAAATTTAAACTTCTCCCAGTGCTAGGGTTGCGCCTGGAAACCAGCACTCTTCGATTTCAACACGCTTCGCTTTTTTTAGCTGCAGTGCTGGAAACATGTGGAAGCGGCAAGAAAAGATCCTGGTTTTGAGCAGGAGCGTTACCGGAAAGCGGCAGCTGGTTTGAGGCACCAAAGAATCTGGACCAGCAGAGAGGTGGCTGGGGACCACGGGGGCCGTTTCTGTGTTTGGATACCAGTGAGGTACTTTGACCACGGTTTCATAAACAATTTTGTCCTGCTGCATCAGCAATAGGAAAAAATAAAAACACAAACCCACCCTAAAGGCGTTCTCATGTTTCCCCATCCTGACCACTCGCTCGCCCTTCCTGCCTTGCGTCGGCGCAAGTGTTTGTGTAGCCACACAGTGAACCCAGCTGGGGAGCTGCTAAAATTGCTCTTTTTTTGTCCCTCTCACCTCAGTCAGCCCACCAGGGACAAGTCAAGAGCAGAACTGGCTCTTCTGGTGGCAACACTAGCTTATAATGTTCAAGAAATCATTGTTTCAGACCGCTTGGTATAGCCGGCCCAGAGAAAACGCAATTCTTCTGCCTGCTGCGAAGGGCAGGCAGGCGAACCAGTGTGTGTCATGCTAGAGAGCAACTAAATACCATTATGGCTTGTGGTGGGACAAAGCGTTTCTGCTTCCATTTCCCAAGGAAGGAGAAGCACATGGAGGGACTCAGAGCTGCAAAACCTCAGGAATACTCCAGAAGAGAGCAGCAAGGCTCCTACAGCCCCAACAGCAATCGCCCGTACCTGTAACCTGTGCCTACCAGCAAGGAATCGCATCACCTGAACAGCGCGGCTGAACTCTGTGGCTGCTCATCGGACATAGTTACAAATGGCAGGAAGGGAAACTCACTGCTCCACAGTTCGAAAGCTATGAATTGCTTTCAATAAATCCAAGCCTAACTGCAACGCTTGAGCAGGACTTGCTCACCTTGACAAACAGTGATGCCACCTGCAGCGCAGATATACAGATTAGAGAACACAAAACCAGTGGGGAAGCACAACGAAAGCCATGTTGAAATTTCAGGTTTGGGACGGGAAAAGGCTGAAAATTTTGCTCCTGACTGATAGGTTTCTTTACTTACAGGCAAGTGGTTGGTATAGTTGTTTTGTTTTCAATGTTCCTTTATCTACTATCTTATCTAATCTGGTCTAGGTCTAATTAGAAGATGCAAAGGACTTTTGTCAAAGTAGAGGTTGATTTTATTAAGTCAACATTGTACTGTAAAATCCCTTAGGAAAAAAAAGGTACTGATTCGATATAGAAGAAAATACTACCTACAGCTGAGCTACAGCTGAGTTTTCTGAGTTAATGCAGTAATGTAATATTGCATGTAGTGGGGTCTTCAGGATTACCTTTAAATAAACAACTCAGTTTAAACAGTAACTTAAGACAATCATGTCTTATCAAATATAAATGTTTGCAGACCAGCTAGTAGCAGTCTACCTTAAAATAAAGCATAAATTACTACTTTGAAGCTTCGGTGAAGATAATCATTGGAGCTTCAAGGCTTTGGGCTAATTTGGAGATTGGCACACAGCTCAAAATACAGCGTGGCTCACAGACTGCCTTCAAAAAAATTCCTCTCATAGCTCCTGCCTAGCTATAATCCATGAATCTACGATGCTTGAGGAGCCTCACACAAGATGGGTAGTACCAGAACTACATTTAGCCCATTAAACACGGAGAGCTAACCAAGTTATCTTTCCAACCAAAACCTACCAAGCTTGCTAAAAACACCTCTTCTTCCTACTGGACAAACTAGTTATCAATTACAATGGATTATTTCACTGCAGAAAGAAAAAAACAAATCATACAAATAATACAAATCCTACAGTAGCTCCCTGTGAATGGCACATCTTGCAGAGATCTGTTTAAAAAAAGATACCAACACGCAGTCGCACGTATCACACAAACGCACCCGGGTGCTCACAGGCATCAAACCTGCGTGTACACAGCCGTGCGCAGCGACGCAGCACCTCCGAGTGACCACACCGAGTCCAGCTCAGGGACCCAGCTCGCCTACACCACGCCACCCCCTTTCCCAGCACTCGGCAACCGACCAAGATTCATCCGTAACGCCAACCAGAAACCACAGCCCGGTTACACCAGACCTTGGAGGGAGAACTGCGTGCCAGGTTTTCTCTTCGGGAGGGGACAGGTGGAGGTGGCAAAGAGGAGCGGAACTGGGCAGCTCTGGAGGGAGTTCAGGGAGAGGCAGTGCCCAGCTGACCTTGGCAGACAGCCTGAGAAGAAGACAAGCAACCCAGACCACATGGACACCGGGGAGTAAAAACCCTACTGCTCAGCATTGCTTGGAACAATCATTGTGCCTTGCGAGTCAGAGCACCAAGCCTCTTACTGTGATATACTTGGAAAAATAAAGGAAAACCTCATCTCAGCAGG